TATATTATTTAGTTAATATCTGAAGAGAGGAAAAAAAAGTGATAAACCACTGCATACCAGTGAAACTTTTGTAGAACTGTCTCTATTTGCACTGTTAAGGAATAGCTTCTGTGTGGCCTGCCTTCATCTTCCAAGAAGGCTATGTCTTGCGATAGTTTCATTTTTCAGATTTTAATAATGCAGCAAAAGTAACATGGAAAGAGGCAGCTTCTTATTTCACATAAGTAAAACAAAAATAGATAGCATAGATTAAGAAGTGACATAAAATGTTTATGTGCACCAGATCTCCTTGTTACATGCTAGCACACAGTTTAATTGCATATTTCTCAAAACTTTCACCTGCATAATACTCTCTTCTATATTTGCACTACATATTTTATTCACTGTTTGAACAATATTTGAATATAAGAACTAGAGTACTGGAGACCTCAATCAAGCTTCTGTTGGATCACATCATAAGATGAAGTACATTGTATTTAAACAAGCATTTGGAAAAAAAAATAAAGAAACCAAACCACAACAAAATAACTACTGCAATGTACTTTGTATGTAGGAAACTCTTTGTCCTTGTAGCTGTTCCAGAGAAAGAGATTTATAGTGGACTTGCTCTCAGAAATATGATGTACTTAGCAACTACAGAGCAAGAGCACCACTCAGTGGAACTATCAGATAAAACAATATTGGTGAAGTCAACGTTATATATTCATAGCACAGCAGTAAAAGCAGTTCCAGGTAATTCTACTAAGATAAAAATCTCTCTCAGAAAAATCTTAGGCGAAAAAAAATGCTAGCTTTAATTCATATTACAGAGACTATAATTTAAAACTCTCTCCTTAATATTGCTTATTTGCCAGCTCACTTTACCATATACTATTACTAAGTTTTCATTACTATCATATTTCTTCTCCAAAAATACAAGTTAAAATTCCAAACAGGAATATGTATGGCCATAAACAAAACCTGTTTAAAATTTGGAACCTGGTGCAGTTTTTATTTAATTCACAAATATTTACATAAAGTTACAAAATGTGGAAACAAATTGCACAACAAGGTGCTGAGACACGACAGTTGTTTCTTATGCATAAGGACAAGCACTGAAGTTCCCTGCTCTCCTTATCAAAATACAGAAAAGATGTATACAAGCGGCTGACAGCTAAATTACTTCAGCACAGACTATGCTAGCTGCGGAACTTCAGACATTGGAAAGGAAAGTCAGAAATTTTGTAACGATGCATTTTTTACTCCTCTGTATACACTGTGAAGATTGCCACCATGAATTCAGATTGTGGATACAGTGACTTGCCCTAATAGCACCCTTTTTCTGTTAACATACACCTAGATATCTGACGAAAGAGGGAGAGGTGGATAAAGTAGTCATAGATAAAGGTGAATAAAGGACCCACATAGGAAAGCCAGAAATTTTGTAACGATGCATTTTTTACTCCTCTGTATACACTGTGAAGATTGCCACCATGAATTCAGATTGTGGATACAGTGACTTGCCCTAATAGCACCCTTTTTCTGTTAACATACACCTAGATATCTGACGAAAGAGGGAGAGGTGGATAAAGTAGTCATAGATAAAGGTGAATAAAGGACCCACATTCAGGAATCATAGAATCGTTTAGGTTGGAAAAGACCTTTAAGATCATCGAGCCCA